TAATAATAATAATAATAATAATAATAATAATAATAATAATAATAATAATAATAATAATAATAATAATAATAATAATAATAATAATAATAATGTAAAGATATAATAATAATATTTATTATTTAATAATTATAAAATGATGATGATGATGATAATGATGATAATAATAATAAAGTAAAGATATAATAATAATTTTTAAAAAATTTATAATTTAATAATTATAAAATGATGATGATGATAATAGTAATAATAATAATAAAGTAAAGAAATAATAATAATAATAATAATAATAATAATAACAATAATAATAATAATAATAATGTAAAGATATAATAATATTTATGATTTAATAATTATAAAATGATGATGATGATGATAATGATGATAAAAATAATAATAATAAAGTAAAGATATAATAGTAAAGATATAATAATAATAATTAAAAAAAATTTATAATTTAATAATTATAAAATGATGATGATGATAATAGTAATAATAATAATAAAGACATAATAATAATAATAATAATAATAATAAAATTTATAATTTAATAATTATGAAATGATGATGATAATAATAATAATATTAGTAAAGTAAAGATATAATAATAATAATAATAATAAAAATTATAATTTAATAATTATGAAATGATGATGATAATAATAATATTAATAAAGAGATAATAATAATAATAAAATTTATAATTTAATAATTATAAAATGATGATAATAATAATAATATTAATAAAGTAAAGATGTAATAATAATAATTATAATAATAATAATAAACTAAAGATATAATAATAATTATAATGACAATAATAATAACATTTATGATTTAATAATTATAAAATTATGATGATGATGATAATAATAATAATATTAATAAAGTAAAGATATAATAATAATAAAGATACAATAATAATAAATAATAATAATAAAATTTATAATTTAATAATTATAAAATGATAATTATAATAATAAAAATTTTAATTTAATAATTATAAAATAATAATAATGATAATTATAATGATAATGATAATGATAATGATAATAATAATAATAATAATAATAATAATAATAATAATAGTAAATAAATAAAATATGCTTTTTTTTAGTTTTTTTGACTAGAGCACAGAGAGCAAGACACAGATCCCCTTGGATTTCCAGCTCTCTGAAGCAGAGAGATCTCCTGGACAGTTTTCTTTCCCTTTTCCTTGAACAGATCCAGCCTGCTCTGGACTGGGGGCTCGGGGGAGCAGCGGGATTTTGCACCCGCGGATTTTCGGGATCCCAGCCTGGGCAGCGGCATTTTCCATCTCCAGAGGGACTGAAAACAAAGCAAACACCCACAGGAAAGAGACCCTCGGAATCTGTCACCTCTTCAGAGCTCTGAGAGCTTCTGGAATTCCGTATTGTTCATTTTGGTGCTGGGTGCTGCTGTGCCTGTGAAATAAACAGGTTTTAAATAATAAAAAATAAATCATTTTTCCACTTTTCTCAGAGAAATAAATCTCTTCCCGAACCGGTTGGGGAGGAAGAAAGGGAGAAAGGGAGAAAGGGAGAAAGGGAGAAAGGGAGAAAGGGAGAAAGGGAGAAAGGGAGAAAGGGAAAAAGGGAAAAAGGGGCCAGGTTTGTTTCTGGGGGAGGCACTGGAGGTTTTGTCCCAGATTTGCCCTGAACCAGGACAAGGATCAGGACTGAGCAGAGCTGGGGGGGGCTCAGTGCTGAAGGTTCCAGAAGGAAAATCCCAACAGCTCCTTTGAGCTCCCACTCTGAGAGTTCCCAGCCGCGGAGCTGCCTGCGGGGAAAAGCCGTGAAATTCTCTGTGACCGTCCAGTGTGCACGTCCAAAAGTGGATCCTTGGCCAGAGAGAGGAACTGTGAGCCCGTTCCAACATGAGGGGGATGAAGCAGCAGCAGGGGCGGGGCAGGGGGGCTCAGGGCTCGGTGGGGTTTGTCTCGTACAGACCTGGCTGTGATCTTGTGATTTCAACAAACTCACACCCGGTGATGCTTTAATCCGGGGCTCTGCCAGCCCCTCCCCCCAGCTGCACCCTCCGGGCTGTGGGAGCTGCAGGTGCCAGGGAGGGGGCACGGGGGGCAGCCCGAGGGCTGTGGGTGAGCCTGGGGGGCAGGACAGAGCCTTCAGAGCTGCTGGTGCTGGCCCTGGGCACAGCTCTGGGCACAGCTCTGGCCCTGGGCACAGCTCTGGGCACAGCTCTGGCCCTGGGCACAGCTCTGGGCACAGCTCTGGGCACAGCTCTGGCTCTGGGCACAGCTCTGGGCACAGCCCTGGGCACGGCTCTG